CTCTGACACAGTCAGAGGGAAAGCACCATAGACGCAAAAGGATCATCCTCACTGGGCTTTCTTTAGTTCACTCCCATGTAAACTTAATCTCCTGTTCTTCTTCTAGTACATAGGCTAATAGGAATTACCACACTGGAAAAGACCTTTTGTCCCTCTGGTAAAATGACCTGACATTCAGAAACAGTCTCTATTTCATGCTCCAAAGGAACACAAAAATGCGTTTTAAAAATGCCTATTATTTATTTCAGTGACTGTCCACGGTCTATAATTCCATTGAATTAAATTAAAAGTCACAGAGTAAAATATTTCTTTTGGTCAGGTTCAGATTTGCTGCCCTGTATTTTCAGCAAGTGTATATACTGGCTGTGTACGTGTGGGAGTGAGGCTGCCAGGAGGCAGGACGAATGAGAAAACCGATGAAAGAGAGATTTGGCCACCCTTGCTCCCATGAATACTACCTTGCTCTGCAAGTAGCTCTATCGAACCAGAGTCTGATTCGGTGAGGGGTGATGTTCAAACAGTAGAAAGGTCTCATGCCTGGAGATTCATCCTTGGGCTGCTACTGGAATGGGGGAGCTGTTATGTGCTCTCTATTCGAGGTTAGCTCAGCTCTGAGGGCTAACCTAAACTGCACCCTTACTGTAACGGCACTATGAGTCACTGGAAAGGCATAAAGTTGCTGGGCATAAGAACAACCCAGCCACACCCTCTCCATCCTTCATCCCACCCATGGGACCTCCCAGGGCTGTCCCCTAGGTTTTTTGCAGGGTGGGGATTGTACCTACCCTGTGGTTCCTTTGCATTAGCCTAGTTGTCTTAAGAGGGTCTGCATCCCACCTACAGCCAGGGGTGAAAGTACGGCGGTTCGGGCCCATACGGCGTACCAGTAAAAAGTAGCCTCCCGTACCGGCCCATACCGCTGACTTTAAAGCACCTGAAGGAGGCGGATGGGGGGGGGCGCAAAAGGGGCAGTGACATTAAATCACTGCCGCTGCAAAAGGACCCTGCTGATGGGGGTGGGGGGGGGCAAAAGGAGCAGCTACCCCAGGGCTGGCCAGAGCCCCGGGCCCTTTAAATTGCCGCTGGAGCCCCGGGCGGCGTGGGCAGGCTGGCTGGGGAAAGCTGACCCCCCCAGCCCCGCCCCTTCGGCCCGAGGCCCCGCCCCGGGAGAACTGCCCCCCGTACCAGTAAGAGAGAAATTTTACTTTCACCCCTGCCGACAGCCTTCAGCACTGTACTGTATCAGCACCATATATGAGGGCAGCTGGGAGGGAGGAGCCATAGCCTTGCTGCTGTTAGTTTCCTGGAGTATGGGTGGACGGGGTGAAGGGCAGAGTAGGCAAGAAATAGCAGTACCAGTTAGGAAAGATGGGCCCACAGCAATTACTTGCTGTTACTAGAACAAGAGCAAAGTGAACGTAAAGTCTGCTGAATAGCCAGTGAATCTGGCTCATATTTGGTCTCTCCCACCCTACTGTTTTGAAATTAGCTATGTACATAGCCAGATCTCATGCTTTCTCTAGTGAAAAGGGGGACAGGAGAGAATTTAAAATGTCTTCGCATTCTCTATGCCTATCTGTCATGTTTCCACTCTGAGGGATAAAATGCCACAGTGTTTTTTTCAGGCTCTGCTCCTGTTTATAAAGGCTACGTCATCCGATCAGGGAACAGAAACCAGGTCATGTGAGCTGGATGATCACACATAGAGACTACTGTGTTCTGAGCACTGAATACTGGAAGGAGTCCTCGCTACAAACAGCTTGTCAGAATCCATCAGCCCTAATTTGTTAATGAAAACTATTATTCAAACCACCAAGAAGAGCAAACACTTGTAAAAATCATTGTGTTTTGGTGGGCAATTCACAAATAGAGGGGGGAAAAATCCAGTGGACAAGTAGTTGGCAGTGAACAGTTCCATCTGCTCCAGGCAATGCATTTTCCCTTCAGCAGAGGCTAATGAAGAAAGGCTGGGGACAGGTGAGGGTTCTACATGCCAGTTGCACTTTCTCCACTGTGGAACATCAGAGCTAGTTTTGATTCTAAGGGCAGGAGGGGGGATAGCTCAGTGGTTTGAGCATTGGTCTGCTAAACCCAGGGTTGTGAGTTCAATCCTTGAGGGAGCCATTTAGGGATCTGGGGGGAAAATTGGGGATTGACACTGCTTTAAGCAGGGGGTTGGACTAGATGATCTCCTGAGGTCCCTTCCAACCCTGAGATTCTATGATCTATCTCCTATCCCTTTGGAACAGTATTCATCCATCACTTAGGACTGATTGCCCCTTGCCCAGTTTCTATTTCTCAAGGAACACTTCTCCACAAAGATATGGGTAGAGTCTGCTCCAAAATTAACATAGTTTTCCCCATTTTTCAGATTTTTCAGTGAGAATTCATCATCCACCACTAGTTTCCAACATGGTAGGCCAGCACACTGGAACTCAGGAGACTTGGGTTCTAGTCCTGGCTCTGTCACTGAACTACTCTGTGGCCCTGGGCAAGTCACTTCATTTCCCTGTGCTTCTGGTTCTCCTTCCATCCTTTGTCTAGTTAGATTAGGTGCTCGGTTATCATGATGTTAACGACCAAATAAAATAAACAGACTGAACTCTCCAGAGCAGGGTGATCTGAATTTTGTACAGAGCCTAACACAATAGGATCCCCAATCATAACTGTGGCCTTTAGTTGAGACTGTAACACATAATGAGTGAATCAGAGACTGGGCAGCAGATGGTGTCCCAGTGTAATTTGGGTTACCATCTAGGCTGCCTCATTTAAGGGGAAGACATTCAGGAGGATTTATTAGTAGGAGCCAGGCAGAAAGGGAAAGAATCTATCTTAGTGTGAGGAAGAACCTGAATAGGAGGCCCCCAAAGTTTGGATGGATGCAGGCCCTGTTTAGCTCTAAAGAAAGTGGACTGAAACAGAAGAGGGGTCCAGAGGGGCATTGCTTGCCCAACGAGAAGAGGGGGAAACTGCTCTCCCCATTATTTTAAGACCTGGCTGTAATCTATGCTGGTGACCACAGCACTGCTCTATGAAAATGACAAATCCTTCACTTGTTTGCAGTAAAACCTCGCTGCCTCCTGTAAGTCATTTAGTCAATAAATTATGCAATCGCTACACGACACAAAATGTTCATAAATTTGTTACAAAGTTGGCAAAGTCCAATTTTAAGAACTACCCAGTAAATGATAAACTAGGCTTTTTTGATTATTTCTCCAACTAAGCCCTTCCTTTCTAGCCATGGGGCAGACATCACAACAATCTAGGTACCAACAGCAGCTGTATGGCACGAACCACTGTGCCTTTGAGAATGTTTGTTTTTTGCCCTCATGGAAGGCTGTAGGTAAGAACAGGGCAGCAGATGTTTCCTTTCAATGCTAATATCCAGCAACTCATGAGCTGAGATAGCTACAAAGAGCCTGATCTTGACACTTGCATGCAGGAAGTCAGGGAGGGCTTTGCCAATGAAAAGACTGCAGGACCAAACCCAAAGCTGAGCTGATAGTTATATCATCAGATGCCCAAACAGTCATGCCACTAATTTCTAAATTTATTTTTAATGAAGACCAGCCATTTTTAGATGCTGCACAATTCATATCAAACTGCAAAAAGCTGATTGAAAAGCAAACCTTTCCTCTTCCAATCCACCCATGTACACACACACACACACACACACACTCACCTAAAAGAGAATGTGGTGAGATCATTCACCCTAGATAAACATTTCCTCCATAAAAAAAGGGGGGGTTCCATTACATACAGGCAGAGCATGGAAATGAAAACTGCTGACTGGCTCCTCCCAGGTGGGAGGAATGTTGTTAACAGAATGACTTGAGAGCCCAGGTGGGCCTGCAGTATAAACACCAATGTGACTACCTCTCCTTCTTACAAAGCATAACACGAATGCCTCCCGGCTGAGAAAGAGGCTCTCTCTGTAAGTTGCCACCTCATCCTACCTTCCCCTCTGAATCCCTGAGGATTCTTCTACCCTCCCCGCATCTCATGTCCCTCCCCAATTCCCTTGAGGCCTCACTACCTCCAAGGTCTCATATACAGTAATCATACTGCCAGCTGTGGAGGAATGGATTAGACTCCATCTGAAACTCACTGATGCTGTCCTTGAACTAGCCAGAGGAGTTTACTATTGAGCAGCTTGAGGCCTCGTCTCAGATCATGATGACAGAAAAGCTATGGCAGACCAAGAGATAACAGTCTTTAAAACATGTGCCTTTTATGCTCCAAACAGGACTATAGTCCCTACTGTTGTTTAGGGAGATTGGTGTCCCCCAGTCGGAGCTCAAAGAGTAGTGAAGTCAGAGTAGGGGACACACACACACACATTCACTAACTGCCCTGTGGCAGAACTGAGTTCTGCAGAAGGGAGCAGAGGATTAAAACAATACACAAGATAGAGTTAGTGTGACAACTGCAGAGCGGGTCCATGTAGCCTGTGAAATAACTAATCATTGCACAGTAATCATAATTTCTTAACACTGCAGTGCAGGAACCCAGCTTCACGGCAGCGCACAATGGGCTAAGGAGATGGAGAGCTAATTAGTGCAACAACAAAAACAATGAGGTGATATTCCCCACAGAACGGGCCTGAGTGGACCGTCAAAATAAGTAATTGATTCCTCCTAATTTACTCATTCTTTCTCTTTCTTGGCTAGGAGCTAAACTGCATATATTCCTTCCGCCCTGTCTTTCATGTGTTTATTTCTCCTGCTTGGTTTAGTGAAGCAAGGAAAGAGAAATAAAACACTGGTAGTGAGCTCCGGCTATGCAATAATAAATAAATAATAATAATAATAATAAAAAAGCTGGAAGTAGGCTCCTCAAATTTCTTCCTCACTCTCCTTGCTGTCTCATATTCAAAACTAACGATGTGCGAGGAAACAAGTCCACAAAGAAATGCTTGGGGGAAAGAGGGGTTGAGCTCTTCCTTCATCCCACCCACCAACCTAGTTTGAATTAAAGTTGAACCAAAACTTTTTACCTACCCGGAGGTGGGTTCAGGGGCCTGGGCTCCTGCTGCAACTGTCAAAGACAATACTGGCATCTAAAGCAGTGTGAGGAATGAAGGCAATGCAGCTCGGCTATGCTGACGAACTGTAGACGCTTACGATGCCATCATCTGTAGTGAGGAAACACAGCATTCTGAACTTGGGTCCTGGTTGCTGGCAAGTGGAGGAGGAACTGATATTTCAACCATCCTTTCAAAATAAAAGTCAGTCCCTAGCCAAAGCCCAGACATGAAAACCTCTAAACTTTGGATGGAGGTGGGGTGTCAAACTATCTGAACCTGTTTTGATGTTTCGCAAATCATTCAGAGATTTCTGATGAGCTAAATCAAAGCCCTGAACACCCCCAACGTAAAAGAGTTTTGAAAAACCAAACCCTTGATCTGTCTTTATAACAGTCAAACCAACCCCTCATCACAGGGCAACAGCAGATTTGAACCTACAACTGATCAGCAGCACTCTAGCACTTGAGCAAAGGATGAAATCTTTGCCCCAAAGAAGTCAATAGCAAAACTCCACTGCATGTATAACACATTGTGCAGTGGCTTACAAAAACACCACCAAACATTTTGAGGCTCAGAATTTTGTCTTGTTGAGGCCGGTTCTTCTGATTATATATTTCTCTGTAATTTTTTACATCTGTGCTTTGTGTGTCTGTGCTAGAGTTGAATCCTGCTAGGAGGTGTTCAGCATGCTCAGCTCCCACTGAAGTCTATGGGCCTATCTTGCTCTCTCTAAGTCAATGAGAGCTTTCCCGCTGATTTCAACAGAGCAGGATCTGACCAGATGGACGCTGAGAACACTCAGTGCTATCCACTGCTCAATATCTCACAAGAATGGATGTTTAGTAATTTTAATGTACTGATTTTAATGCTTTTCAGTTCACATTACTCAGCTAAAACTTAAAAAATGGTATATCGAAATGTTCTGTCCTTCCCCCCTCCCCATCTCCATCTCTCAGAAGAGAATGTCATTCAACCATCTGTCAGAAGAACACAGTGTTCCTGTTCCAACTCACAGTAGCCTGTAATAACATTTTTTCACCTGCCTGCGAAGTTCCCCCTAGCTTCTGAAACCCACAAAAATCAGCATTGCCCCCAGAACAGGATGCCCTGCTAATCGTTGCACTAATCTATCCTGATTTTCTACCGCTTTGCACCTTGGATAGTCATCTACACCTGTGCAAAGTGGAGGTAAAATGCTATCAGATCGGAAGGGCAGCATGTCACACCCACTTCACACAGCTGTGAATGACTCAAGAGGCAAGGCAGTGGGAGCAGGGCCCATGTTGCTATTACCAATTTGTTTTATCTTTAAAAGGTTGTGGCCATAATTTTTTAAAACTTGTGCCTAAAGTTACACATCTACATCCATATTTAAGTAACTAAAAAGTGGCCTGATTTTCAAAAATGCTGAGCACCCCGAGGTCTCCTTTCAAACCAGTAGGAGTGGCTAGGGCCTTAGCCCTTTGGAAAGTCAGGCCATTGATTTAGGCTCCTAAATGTGAACTTAGTGAAGTTTAACTGTAGACACCATTTTTTAAAAAACCTTGCCTCAGTTTATTTCAGGGCTTTTCAGTTCCTTTTTACATTCATGTTTATTCACAGCTTTAAACTGATATGAATATACTGTACAGAACACTTCTGAATGAGCCCAGGAATGACTGATTCACACAGGACCAATGATGGCCAATTTGGCAGGATGTTAGCCTAGACAGCTTCCTAATGACCTCCTGTCCCACTACCTGGAGACATTAAATGCATCAGCAACACAGTGACCCTTTTTAAAAATCATCATCCATCGTGTTTTTAGCTTTGCTTTTTATTTAATAAGTTTGAGCCTTTTTAAAAAAAAAACCCTGCTAATTACAAACAATATCCCAAATCCTGATGCCAGCTTACATAGCGATATGGGGTGCATGACCCCCAACAGCTGCATTGACTTGCTACACAAGGGACCATTGCTCCTTCTGCAGTTGGGAGGGGAGAATCTTATGCAAATGAGTAGAACTCCCTGAGCAACCACCTGCCACTTTTGCAGGTGTGCTAAGGCCTCTCACAATAGCAATTCCTGCACTCCTCGCATTTCTGGGGTGCGGGGACTGCTCAATCATGCTTCACACAGGTATCAGGATGCTAAAAGGAGAGCAGAGAGGAGGCAAGCCTCTGGCCCCCCTCTCGCTCTCTTTACACTGATTCATGGATATTCCAAGACAAGAGGATCAACTTGTAGGGCTCTGTGGCATGTGGGGGTGCAGCTGCATAGATCAGATTGCAGTATCAGGCCTATAGACAGTGAAAGGCTAGAACGCATACTGGAGTTGGCAGTGGGGTACTGCACTGATCTTCCTGGAACCCACAAGTGTGTTATGATTTTCCCTCTGTTCCAGGTGAGCAGGTTCTAGATAAATATAAAATCATTCTTTTTTTATTTCACTGAGGGGCAAAAGGTTAATTGAATTGCTTTCAACATTTCTTGTACTTCTTTTGGTGACCTCCCACCCAAGGATGACAGAAAGTATCTGACTTGCTGCCAGATTAAAGCTAATGCCACTGAAGATCACTGTCAGAGGAGCACACAGTCACCCACACAAATATATATACCCATTCAAGCATAGGGCCTGAGACAGTACCCCTAGAAGTGAATAGAAAGATTCTCACTGTCTCCAGTGAGACTTGGAGCAGGCCTATAGTGTACAACTATGTTTTTTATAAGGAATAAATGAGAAATGTTTTAAAAGTTGTTTTATTGTTCATTTATAGGAGTCCAAACCAAACTCAGAGCCCCATTGCATAGTGCACTGCATAAGACATTTCCTGCTCCAAGGAGATTACAATCTAAATAGGCAAGACAGACATAGTATGTAAGAAAGGAAATGTCATTATTCACAATTTACGATTGGGAAAACTGAGGCATAGGGTGATCACATGACTAGCCCAGGGTGACATAGGAAATTTGTGACAGAGCCAGGAATTGAACCCATATCTCCAAAGTCTTAATCAAGTGCCTTAACCACAAAACCATTCTCAGTCATTTTAACTTGCCCTCTTTCCATTTTCCCACTTATTAAATTGTTAAGAACCTTTAAAGCAAACTATCTGGTCCTTCAGTTGCCAAAATCATGGTGCCAAAGAGTGATACTGTTTGTTTGTGGATTTTCTTAGGCCAGATAGTTTATATCCACCTGTGCTTCATCACTGAAAACATGTTCGCTGACTCTTTCCTGAGGTGAGAAATTCACTCATTTTCTCCAAGAAGGATACATCAAAGCATTGTTTTATTTCATTTTATTTCTTGCTTCCTTCCTTCCACTTTTATAGTCTTATTTCCTTATATTTATTGCTTCACAATTATGAAAGAAATAATAGGTAGGAGGTTCCTTTTAAGGAGCTTCTCCTGATGTCAAAACCCCTTGGTAAAGTCCCCTAAGTTCCCTCCTAGTGTATAAATTGGGAAAATTACTTGCAGATATCAAACCCTCATTTTAATGAGGACGTAACAGCGAGCCCTTCACATGTTCTTTCCCTCTAATGAAAGAAGAGTGTTTGTTATCACAGATGTCAGAAACAAAGTGGTAACCTGCTCTAACTTCCTCCTGTCCTATCACTATACAGTTCACTCCCATGAGATACGTGTTTGGGTGGAAGGAAAAGCTATCACAAGTGAGATACCCCATTTACATCCTCCCTGCTGGGGCTTAAGCACAGGCCCTCAGCTGACTGAGAAGGTGTGAAATTGTCAGGCTAAATATAGAACATAGCCTGGTGGTGGCCCTCTCTTTCAGGTCACTCATGTTCTGTTCGCTTTTACCAGCCCAGAATTCATGGTTAGAAATAGAAAAGTGAACTTAGTGCCGGTGAAAGATGCCAGCGTGACAGATCTGGTGACCAAAGCCTTCAATTCAGCCACAGCACAGAATGTGAAACACCAGGGCAAGCTTCTCCCATGCCTGTCCCCTTCCCCTAAAGCTTTTCTTCCCTTCACCATCACCTGGAGTGATCATTTTTAAGTTCACTGTCTGTGCACACATTCCATCCTCAGCCACAGTGAGGAGACTGCCAAAGCAGGGCCTCAGTCACTATTGCCTTGCGTAGCACGAAAGCAAGTCTAACTATGGGCTGAATGCTCCCTCACAGCAGAGCCCGCAAGAAGATGGGGTGGTCAGGAAGTTGGTTGTGGTTCCCCCAGCCTGTGCCATTTGGTCTTGGCACAATTTAGAGAAGGTGAGGAGCTATTCTAACTTACCCCCATGATGCAAGGTTACCAAGTGACTTTAAATACATTTCCACCAGTGGAGGATAGCAATGGCACAGCTGCACTTTGACATGCCCATACCCCATACCTGCCCCTGCCCCATCCATAACATCAGGATTCAAAAAGTAATTTCTTGGTGTCTGTGAAAGGGTTTCATTCACTGCAAGTGTACCTCCTTGTGGCTGGGTTTAGGAATTCTCTTGCCCCATCTGGCACCCCCCCCCCCTTCTTTTGATTGCTCATGCTGGTCCCTCTCTCAGGGACTCGCTCCTTCTTCATGACTCAGCCTCCAGCCAGGTCACTGTATAGTTCTCCCGACTTCTGGGATAACAAAGTCGCACACAGCCAGCTGTTTGAATGCCGTCTCAGGCAGTCTTCTGTTCCAACACCTAGCGACCTAGTTCTGCTCAGCCTCAGACTCTGGTGCTGTTTCCCTGGGCTCCTTCCTACACCATCTCCTTTCCCTACCTCTAAGTTTACTTCTGGAGCTTCTTCTGCTCCCATTAACTATTTCCCCCTTCTTGACCTCTTGTAAGACTGCCTCATTCAGGGCATGATCAGGCTTTACTCTGACCCTTGATCTCCTACTTTTCCCTGGCCAACTCCCTTTCCCTCTGGGGAGTAACTGCAGACCTCCTCCCTGCAGCCCCTTCCTGCTCTCACTTCCTGGCTTAATAATCTTAGCCCAGTTTCTCCCTAAACTGGGCTTCATCTGCCATAAGGCCCTATCAATGTGTGGTTCCCCTCTGGCCCCACCTTGAACACATTCATCCATTTAGGGCTTGTGTGGGGTGGACATCCCATCACAGTGCCTTAGCTGGTTCTTTCCTGGAACAAAAAGAGGAGAGGCTGTTCAAGA